AATGGTGAGGAGTGCTTTGAGAAGGTTCAGGACGGCTTTGAACCCATTTAGAAATTAAAGGAGCTCACTTTCGTTGTTGTTATAGGAGATGTAGGATTAGGTTTGGGTGGTGGTGACTCGGAGCCTTGAAGGAGAATTCAGTAGCTGGGTTAGCAGGGTACTAGTGGGATTGTTCGGCATTGATGATAGAGTTGAATGGAGGTGGTTGTTGAGATTTCTTGCTTGAAAATTGTACTTGCGAGTCAGTTGCTTGTAGATTGTATATTTGTATATCCTTTATAATTCGCAGAGGTCGCATTTTGCTGAAAGGTCTGGCGATTTTGTACAGGTGGAAGAAGGGTGCTTGCCACCCCACTTAATGCACATGGAATTATGGGTGCAATAGATATGAGTGTGTTCGTATAGGTTTGACAATTTTGGCACTGTGGTATTTATCGCTTTTTGTAGGGCTCTTCAATTTGATTTTTGAGTGCAGAAGAGAAGATATCTGTGTATCACTATCGCTTCCATTTGGGTCTACGTTAACAAAGAGAGTTGTGAGGTTTTTGTTTGTTGATATCTGACATTGGTTACATTTCTCAAAGTGTCCAAATTCTTCTATTGCTGACGCGTATCGGCCTCGGGYGAAGAGGGATGGAGGTTCCTAATAACTACTCTTAGAGGTTTTTTAGATTGCAGCTGATATAGGTGTGACATTATGCTTTGCTTTCTTTTAGGTAATGGATTATATTTCTATTAGGAGTGTCTACTTGGATTTTAAGGTGAGAAGTGGTCGATTTACACAAGAAACTGAATTAGGGGATGTGGCTTCTGTTAGGTGGTTGGATAGTCCGATGTTATCAATGTTACCTTTGATAAATATAGGCGGAGGTAAAATTATTTTAGACGAGACATTGGTGGTATTCTGATACCTCTTATTTGAGGTCTCTGATCGTGAGCCTCGATATTAATGATATTATTATCAACTAAAGTGTGCCATGTGTGTGAATACGTAAAACCGAAAATGTCCAATAATCTCACTGGTGTCATCCGACCATCTCACRAAAAGATTCAATAAAATAGGTACTTGGATATCATTTAATTGACCCATCTGAATGGGAAATACTAAATCCGCTTGCAAAATTTACAAATTAAAGCATCAAATTTGAAACTGCGCAACTGCCAAATAATTTCTTGAAAACTTGCAGAAMATTAGGTGCCTCAAGCCTCAAACCAAGATTGAAGTTTAAGTAGCTTAGGATAAATAATGGAGGCTACCTCGTTGAAAGAGTAGAACCTAWGATATTCTCCCCACTCCCCTTCAAGACATATAGACCACGATAGTATAATTATTAAAGTCAGATATAGAATTTAATGTGATTAAATAATAATAACCTTTGACATTTGGGGTATTGGCTTGGCTTTGAAGTCTATATTCCTATAAATTATAATCAGTGGTCAGGAGTATCGCGTTAATTGTATCGACACTACAGTAGCAAGCTATTTAACCCTTTCAGACCCGAATTAATTGTAGTAGAGAAAAAAAAATTTGCGATTTATATATGTTATTAAAGATACTTAATTATAAGGTTCTTTTCAAGTTGTTGCGATTTACATAACGTCGCTTTCATATACACAATGCTGCGAAATATATAACGTGCTAGAAATTTACAATTAGCGTRGCGAAAATTTTCATTATTTTATAGCTATTTCTAACTTATTTCATGATAATTCAAATATTATGACGACTATTTTTTTTGTTAAGAGTTTTGTCACAAAAATACACGAGAAACATCGAATAAACCTGTTTTTTCATAAATACAAGTAAATAWTRTTAGATATTAACAAATAATTACCAATGAATATCTAAATAAATCAAGAAAATTAAAAAAAAAACTTTCGCGAAAAAGTAACGCACTATATTTTCAAAAATGTAGATTTAGCAATAGCGAGCTACTTTTTTAAGGGGAGAAGCGGCTGCAGCAACCACCGTCCACAGTCTAGTCCACGAGCCACGACTGGACGACGTCATAGTGTCCTACTGTCCTACAACTGGCATATCATGACTAAACAATACCATCAGAAAATCTTTTTAAAGCTGTTCAGCAAATAGAACATGAATTAAAATACTACATGGTGAAAATTTATCAAAATCCCCATATGTTTTTAAAACATTATATGAGATCAATAAACCTAAAATTGAAAAACTTAATGTACCTGATGAAGTATTACACTGTCTTATTAGAACACGAACATACATCTGATTAAATAATTTAAATAAACAATTAATCACAAAACAACAAAAACAATCAGACAAACTGAAAAAAAGGAAATTTACAAATCAATAATAATTGTGTACACCTATATTAACCTATGTTATGTACATAATATGTAAATAACAATTAATAAAAATAAAACTGAGTTTAAGTATTTATTATAAACTTAAGTCTTATGAATTGTAATTTATAGTATTAAATTTAAAATATTTAAATTTATTGCAATTTGTATTTTGAACTATTTGTAATAACACTAATAAGTAATAACTAATATTGTCTATCAAAACATTCAAAACATTCAAAGCTAGCAAACAAAATAGTTTAAAATGACAAAATGAGATAAATTAACAACCAATCARAAGCGGAGAACTACGCGATAGATGAGGTAAGGGGTGGTATTCGTATCACAAAGTTGTGATCATACCTATCTATTTAGTCATGTGGCATATTATGTCTATGGTAGACTATTTTTTTATAGTGGCTAAAGGCTACTGAGTACTGGCTAGACAGTTGTTACAAATGCTACAATACAAATTACAATAGTACAATATGTAAATGTTACCAATACTCGTATATCACTATAGAACCACAGATTAAATGAAAATTAAATCTGTGATAGAACTACAACAGATTATATAAAATATATATATCTGTGATAGAAGCATGGCCGTGGATAGAAGTGATAGAACCATAGAGTAATTACTTTATGCCTCTATGGATAGAACCGACAATCGGACAAAAATATTTCATCTATTCT